CATTTTGTTTGAAAGAACTAGAGTACAGTTTCTCGATGGTGACTGCCTTGAACTGCTTGCCGTTCTCCTTCAGCTCAAACCAGACATTGGTCTCGTCATTTTCATGTGAGATCTCGAACCCAAAGAAGACGGCATCTTCTTTCTGCTGGCAGGAGCAAGAAATGAGAAGAGTAATGATTCAGAGCAAGATGGATCATCCATTTCCTGAGATTGTGAGTTTTGTCTCGCCCAAAGGCGTCGGCTCGTTCTCGCCGCCAGCAGAGTGTAGCCACCGAAGATGACAGCTCCACCATCAAGACGGAAGACCAGGGAGCCAGTCGAATGGATGTTGACGACGACGATGACGAATCATCATGGGACTCGAACCTTAGGGACTCTGAGAGCGAGGAAGGTGAAACGCCGGAGATGGAAGCACTGCGCAAGCAGGTGGCGGAGTTGACATCAATCGTCTCTGGCCTTGCTCAAACCAAGTCGTTTGACAGCAGTGAAGGTAGCAAGTCAAACCTTGCCGGCAATCTGAAGAAGAAGAAGACGAATCAAGGCAATGCTTCAAGCAACTCCATTGCCGGTGACAGCAAGGCTTCTCGTCGCAGCACTGGAACTCGTGGCACCCAAGCTCGAGAAGAGAAACGCAAGACCAGAGGAGGTGGTGGTGGATCTGATGAGTATGCTGCGAAAAAGGTCCTTTGAAACGAGGCCAACATGTTGTGGTGGCCATCCCCTCTGTGCTACTGGTTGTTTAAGTGGCAATTGGATAGGCGTGTTGTTGAAGAGGTTGCAAGTGATGAGGAGTTAGATAACAAACAAACCTAGTAGGAGTAAACTTTATTGGCAAAATACTGCTTTTCAGGCACGTCCAAAGCAAGAATTCGCTACATACCGGTAGCCACCGTAGTGCAGCATTGGCGCGACCAAACTTTCCTACTACTAGGTAGTACCAGAAACTAGCATAATCTATACTAGCTAGTAGTATGACGTATCGTTTACTCTAACGCATTATTATTACTAATAATATTATTGCTACCTCCATTCCAAGGGCATCGAATTTTGGCAATTGCTCCACAACTTTGGCGCTGCTGTCATTGGCTTCAAAGTCTGCTGGAACATCTTGAAGAGACAGAGTGGACGACACAATGCCGGGGAGGACTACGGTTGGCGCCTCGGAGGTTGAGTCTAAGAAGACTGGAGCAAGAGAGGATCTTGCACAAACCAATGACGCTCCTGCACCACCATCAGGCGGACAAAGCCATGGTGACGATTGCAATGTGGCACCGGTCAGATTTATGGAAGGAGACGATGGTGACAAGGAAAGAAAATGCCGAGGCCTCAGCAGCGGAGTTTTCAATCGCAACACCCACAGCCAGACTCCAAGTGGCTCTGGTGGACTTGCTCCACCCAATGCCCCACTCCGTACAAGTATCAACAACAAGGAGAATGAAAAGGCCAAGAACAAGAAAGACAACCCAAGTGACAAAATCAAGAAGAAGAGAAAGGGTGACGAACTGGATCCCGACACTGAAAAGACGACAGGCCACAATTTGACCAAGACCAGTTCCAGACGTCGAATCGTGTTAGAGAAGCTGCGGCCACAGCGCCAGTCGCCGTCCAGTGCCGGAATGGAAATTGTCGTTGTCCGAGCAGCACCCAGCAGTGGTGCTGACGATGATGATGACAGCAACAGCGTCGCTTCTTCTTTGACACGACATAGCGGCGAATTGTTTGCGTTTGCGATAGGGCCACAAAACAACAATAAGAGAACCTACACGGGCGTCTCCTTGCGTCACAAAAAGTCACGCGACCGACAAAAATCAAAACCAAAGATAGAAGCACCCAAACCACCAAAGGAAGAGCGAAAGCGAAAGGAAGTGAAAAAACGAAGCAAGAGTCCAGTGAAGATCCGTAGGGTGTCCTTGGACCACCAGATCAAGAAAGCACCCAATCTTCTTGTGCGGGACTCACATCCCGATGATCCCTTTGAGTTTTGCCCGACGACACCGTCCTCTTCCCCTGTGGTGCAACAACATCGAGTTGTTGAACCAAGTAAGCCAGTCATCCAGCGGCGAAACAAACCACGAAGGGGCAACGACGCTGGTGGCAAGATACTACCCGACAAGCCCACTTCGTCCCAAAAGCACTTGGCGGTGGTCACGGAGAGAAAGTCCAGCACGAGCAACGGAATCGCACCGTCACGTGACAATGCACAATCGTCCTGCAATAGTAATCAGACGAGAACCAATGGGAGCAAAGCAGCACACGAAAACACCTCATCACAAAGCATTCGAACCAACGACGACAAGGGCTTGCCACAACATACTATTGGACACGATGCTCAGGATGCAGACGGTTCAATCGACGCTCAATTGGAGGCTGGCCCCAACCTGCAATCGGAAGGCCTTCCGAAGCAGATACCCTGCAAGGCTGATACCGTGCAACTGGAAAACAGATTGGACGCATCCAAAGCAGACACGACCCATGACAACAGCAACAATGATACGATACATGGCGGCACACGGGAAGATGTGACTAAAAGTGCGTCTACAAAGTCGCAAGGAGACAGCAACTTGTCCCCTGCGTTTACTGGGTCAAGGCCACCATGTGTGCGACTCTCAAACAAAAAGGAAGAGTGTCTCGGGAGTGACAGTCCTTGTGATAACATGCGGAGCAATGTCAAGATCACTGTTGCGAACAAGTCTGATCCAACGCTAGATTTGGTTGGCCCATCCAACGAGAATTCGGTTGTGGATGTCCCACAACCACATTCACCCCCAGAGCCGCCTATAATTCTCAAGCCTAGCGGGCAAGGATCTCAGGCTGAAGACGCGGCAGTTGCTTTTCCGAGCGCCACAACAGAGGCTTCGATGGAGGTTGCCCCCCCAACAATGCTGTTCGCCGATACATCAAACGCCACCATGCAGACCTCGACGCCGCAGGATAAAACAGAACCAGTGGAGCCGCCAAAGGCTATGATTGCGACCCCATCCAACTCTACCCTTGCGAAAAGTTTCGCACAGACGGCGCAAGCAGGAGCGAACCCACCAAAGGCGATAGTTGCTGCGGCGTCAAACGCAATCATTGTGGAGACTTCGGAGCGGGCGACTAGAACACAGATGACAGATCCAGCTTGCACCACGCTACCAAAGACACCTCAAAAGGGCGAGGGCGACATGAAACCGGACGAACTGGAGTCCACCTGCATTGTCAAGCAACTATTGCCAGCCGTTCAAAAGGAAACGAACCCGCCACTGCCCACACCAATGCAAGTCAAATGTTTTGACGCTGTTTCTTCTGAGCAGCGAGATACTGGTACCACGATGAAGCTACTCCCAGGAGCGTCCAACGAGTGGAAGGAGGTTGCACATTCTTCTGATCAGCTACATGTAGATGCCGTGGAGCCAAGGAACGGAACCAACCGACAAGAAACATGCAACCCAGCTGATGCGGAGAAGCGTACTGGGGACATGCCCGAGGAACAGCCACCACCACCACCAGGCCACTCACAAGAGCATGCCCAAGCTAACTCCCCTTCTTGTATACGCCACCTTGATGGAGGCGGAAGTAGTTCAGAGAAAGCACATGGGAATCAGCTCACGTCAATGGACAGTGCCGATGGCAAGGATACTCCGCGAGGTAATCAAAGGGGCTTGCCTCTCGCAGTAGAAGGGTTGCCTGGCGACGTTGGTGTTCCTGAGGCTGTCGAGACGAATGCAGCGGCAGAACCCGAGAGAGCGAAGGTTGGAGTCAATGCAGAGGAGCGGTCTGAAATTCATGCTCAAGGCAGGAACAATGCAGACGCAGGGAACGCCAAAATCGACGACATGGCAACCAGAGTTGAAACTTCAGCCGAACACTCTGCAAGGCCTGCTAGTAACTGCAGAGGCAAAACCAAATCAAGGGAACTTCTCGTTGGCACTACCGTGAATTTTGATGCAATCCTCGACGCTGAGGAAATGGAGCAAGGTCGATATTTTCTCTCGGGGACGAGGCGAAAGCGAGCTCTGCAGCTTCGAAGAATTCAGAGTGGGAATAACTTCAAAAAGGCGTCCTTGCTCATGTTTGACGCCAACAAGCAGAAGCGACAACTTGACCTGACTCTTTGCCAAGTGCATCGGGCCTGGGTTCAACTGTATGCTCAAATGCATGACAAGAACGTACAGGAAGTTTCCTTGAGCGCCAATGACGACGCAACCCCTTTTCCGCAAGCTTTGTTGGAAGCAATCTTCAAGCTTCCAGCCCTCCAACGGTTGACTCTAGACTGCACTGGATCAAAGCTTGATCTTCACTTGGTGAAACTCTTGACAGCGGATAGTTGCCTCGAATCCCTCAAAATCATTGGCGCGAATTTGACGTCTGACGACACAAAAGCACACTTGCGTATTGTCCATCGCTACAAGGCAAGCTGTTTGAAGGAACTATTTCTCACAGATTGCGAGGTTTCCTATTGTGCAAAGCAAACGGCAGTTGAACGGCTCTTTGTGGATACTGCACCTCTGACAAAGCTGTGGCTGGACAATGTCAAGGGGATCTCAGACGACTGTATCGAGCATGTTTGTGAACAGATTCCTGGGCTGGAGCTCGCAGTGAGGCTAATGCCGATCCCACCCCAGCTGCTAAGGCTTCCAAGCTTGTCCAAAGTATGCCTTGTAGACTGCTCGGGCCTTCAGAAAGCAACAAAGAAGATGCGCCCAAGTCCAGCATTGAGAGAGCTTGTGCTGTGGGGCCCATTGTCCCAGACAGTAGCCATCGGCTTATTCCAACAACTGGAGAATTATGTCGGATTGGAAACCCTGGTCGTAACAATTGCCCACGGGGCAGACATAAGCGAGCTTGGCTTCGAACGATTGGTGCAACTCCCCCATTTGAGAGAACTACGTCTTGTTGTGTTCGGGCCCGTTCGGAATGTGGCCAAAGGGACAAAAAGGCTCCTGAATGCGCTTGATTCGGATTCGAACCAGTCTATTGAATGCATCCAGATGGATGCGCTTGAATGCGGCGACGTCTCCTTGGATCGACTTGACTCGCGCGTGGAGGATTTGTTCCAGACTCACCAAACCCTCAGGTTGTTGGACTTGTTTGACCATACGTGGAGCTTTCGTCGCGCTGGTTAGCTGGTTGACCTTCAGCTTGCTTTCGATTCGATTCAGACTTGCATTGCCTTCAAAGTCCTACTCTACTTGTCCACTTGTTCAATGCGCGACTCTGGCTAGCTAGTTTAGGAAACTAACAGTAATGGAGCCATTCATCGCGAAGTCTGCATCCAGTTTTGCCCAGTGGCAATCGAAACACTTTTGCCAAGTGGCGCAGTGGATGGTGGATGGCTGCTGCAAGAGATCAGGCACTCGCTTGCGCGCAGGAACGTCTGAAATCCTCTCGTCGGAGTGAATCGAATCATCAACAAAGCTCACAATCCAATCTCACAGGATCAGAAACAACACAAAACAAAGCAACGAGCCTCGACTCAAAGTAACCAAGCAAAGCCGACACAATAGTTATCATCAGGGACAATCCAAGAAGTTCACGCAGCATATAACAGCTCAAAACGACAACAAAAACGAACAAATCAAGCCACAAAGAAGACTCGACTCGATGCCGAAGATGAAGAAATCAATCACCACACGTAAATCTCCTCGGGCCCGCAACTTTATCCTGCTCCTCATATGCTGCATTGCATGCTTTTCCCTCGCTGGGGCAGCTGCATCAACAAGTCCACCAAATAGCCCCGTTATCGGTATTGATTTAGGCACCACCTACAGCTGTGTCGGAGTCTACAAAAATGGAGCAGTTGAGATACTTCAAAACGAGCAGGGAAATAGAATCACGCCTTCGTATGTCGCCTTCACTGAGAATGGAGAACGGCTTGTTGGCGACTCTGCAAAAAACCAGGCGACCATCAATCCAGGAAACACAATCTTTGACGTGAAACGTTTGATCGGCCGCAAGTATTCGGATGCATCCGTGCAAAGTGACAAGAAGTTGGTCCCGTACAACATCATTTCTGACCAGCGCGACAAGCCCTTGATCCAAATCATCCATGGAAACGAGACTATGACGTTTACTCCTGAAGAAGTGTCCGCAATGGTCTTACAGAAAATGAAGTTCACTGCGGAATCCTTCCTTGGCCAAGAGATTCAGAATGCCGTGGTTACGGTCCCAGCTTATTTTACCGACGCACAGAGACAAGCCACCAAGGATGCCGGAACCATTGCAAACTTGAAAGTGGACCGCATCATGAACGAACCAACGGCTGCAGCGCTCGCCTATGGGATTGATAAAATGGATGGAGAGGCAACTGTGCTTGTGTTTGATCTTGGAGGCGGGACCTTTGACGTGTCATTGCTAACGATGGATGCAGGAGTGTTTGAGGTGGGCAGAACAAGTGGCGACACTCATTTGGGAGGAGAAGACTTTGATCAACGTGTCATGCAGTATTTTATCAAGCTGATGGAGAAAAAGAGCAATGTTGACATCTCTGACAACAAGCTAGCGCTTCAGAAGCTACGAAAAGAGGTAGAGAGAGTGAAAAGGGCTCTTTCCTCGCAACAACAAGCCCGCTTGGAGATCGATGACCTTGCCAACGGCTATGACTTCAGCGAGACTTTGACTAGGGCTCGCTTTGAAGAGCTAAACCATGACCTTTTCAAGAAAACACTAGCTCCGGTGAAGCAAGTGCTCGAAGAGACCGGCACGTCCAAGGCTGAAGTCGATGCTGTGGTCCTTGTTGGAGGTAAGTGAGAGATGGTTGAGAGAAAAGGAAGAATGAGATTGAATTCTGTTGGTTGGTTTGGAAGAAGCTCACGAATCTTTCCTTTGTCCGTCTCTTTTTTGTGTGCCATGTTCAGGATCCACACGTATTCCAAAGATTCAACAGATGCTAAGTGACTTCTTTGATGGGAAAGAATTGTCGAAAGGAGTCAATCCAGACGAAGCAGTAGCGTACGGTGCTGCCGTCCAGGGTGCCATCTTGTCTGGAGCCGACGCATTCAACGACATCATCTTGATTGATGCCACGCCTCTATCCCAAGGCATCGAGACTGTTGGGGGTGTTATGACAAATATCATCAAAAAGGGAACCACGATTCCAGTTAAGAAATCTCAGACCTTCTCTACAAGTCAGGAAAACCAAGCCAATGTGTTGATCCAAGTATTCGAAGGTGAACGGGCGATGACAAAGGACAACCACCTTTTGGGAAGGTTTGAGCTGACTGGAATTCCACCTGCCCCTCGAGGAGTTCCTCAGATAGAAGTGACCTTTGAAGTGGACGCCGATGGCATCCTTCAAGTAGCAGCTCTGGACAAGGGTACTGGCAAGTCGGAAAAGATTACCATTACAGCAGAAAAAGGGAGACTGTCACAGGAAGAGATTGACGCCATGATCAAAGACGCTGAAGAATACGCAGAAGAAGATCGAAAGCTAAGGGCAAAAATTGACGCGCGAAATGGTTTGGAAAGCCATCTCTACAGCCTGAAAAATGCTGTAGAAGAAACAGACGGGCATCTTTCCAGCGTGGACAAGAAGGATTTGACAGACTTGATTGACGAAACCTTGGATTGGATGGAGGAGAATCCTGAGGCTGAAAAAGATGAAATAGACGGCAAGCTCAAGGAGTTAGAGGCGATTGCGAATCCAATCATGAGGGACCTCTATAACGAAGGCGGCACGAGCATGAACAAAGAAGACGAGTTTGATGAGGAAGATTTGTAGATGACACCGTTTTTGGATGTCAACCGCAGCAAGTAGACTCGATGATTCAATCCAATGACAATGAGCTGTAGCACCGAGATGTTTGGTGTTTGTTGAGGCAGCGAGTGAACGAGTGAACTGAGAAACGCGAAGATAAGAACTTAACATGGAATAGAACGAGTTTATGTGTGATGATTGACTTTTTGCACTAAAAGTAGGGCGACTGTGTCTGACAACAACCACTACATCGTACCAACGGCACCGCCGCTCACAGGCTGCATGAAGCACCTGTGTACGAAAGCTAGTCCTCACCTGTACCGTACACCCGCAAGGGAAACTTAAGATCGTCCTTAAAACATTAGAAAGGACTTGAAACGCAATTTTTTTGCTGAGGTTGCTTCCTAGCTAGCCTGCGAGCCAACCAGACTTGAGATCGTCCAGTCATGTTTCGATTACAAGCAAGTCTGTCGGGCTGTCCAGCTTTGCTTCTGAAGGACACTCCATATTTGAGACCAACGGCCTGGCGGTGCCTGTCGGGTGGTAGGTATGTATTTGGACTGTGCTTGGAGGTTCCTGCTGCTCTCCAGCACTGGTTCTCCAGGAGTATCGTGCAAGCCAATAATCCACCTCAAGAAGTGCAAGCTGCGGCCGGTTAGAAGCAACTAGTCATTTTTGCTTTGCTTGGCTTGGCATGGATACCGCACTCCTCTTTCCTAGCTAGCATCCGGTACCGGTTGCGGGGCGAGATGCCCGAAGCCTCGCCACTTGCGCATGGCGACAAAGAGACAGCAGCGACCTCAGAAGCGGTCACACGTATTACTCTAGAAAGCAACATGCTGACTGCTACCTGCTTCGCTGATGACTGCCTTGCTGCCCAGGTATCCCTCTCTACAAGGTTTCTCTTTTTAAAACTGTCTCCAACAGTCGCAATGCAACTTTGAGTTTGACCCACCGGTACTACTAATACGTTCCTGCATCGTGCCCTCCCCTCAGCTTGCGCTCTGTCCCCATCCTCATCTTAGCTCTCTCTAATCCATAGTAAACCCCTCATTGCACATATGTACCAAAAAAACGGAGAGGACCCAATGGAAGAGACGCACGATGCACAGACGGTGATACAAGAACCGAAAGCGGTGAAGCGTTTGGCTTCACACTTGACAGGTTTGACATCTTGCTCGAGCGCACCTCTCTTTCTTGGAAGCTCGTGTCCTTCCACCTGTCACCCCGGAAGATCTTTTCATTGGACGCGAGAGAAGAGGTCCAAATCTTGTGTTTTCCTCTCTTGCCTCGCAATTAAGAATCCAATGTACCGTAGATCTGTATCGATGCACATGATCAGCTTCTTCTGGACGAGGGCGGATTGTTTGTGATGACGGCTGCTCTTCCTCGACGTTGCTTCCCTTTGCAGGGGTATCTTCCATCATGGGTTGAAACTGCCAAAACACCTGCTCCGACACCCCCATCATCCGATGATCCGGTGAGAAACAACAAGCATCGTTGCAAGATTCAATCTCGTCGTCTGTTTCTTGCACACAAAAACCAAGAAGAGTGTCAACTCCCACTTCTAAAATAAAACTACACCAGAACAAGAGCATCAAGAACAATAGCTTCATGCCCATCAGCAGAGACCTCTCCACAAGACCATCACAATTATTTGACTTTGACAGGAAACGGAGAAGATGATGACCAAGATTTTGACCGTATTGGTGGTGCTGTTGTTGGCGAGTGTCAACGCTGGTTCCTTTGCACGCCGTGGAGCGGTGGACTCCAACAAGAAAGAGGCGGTTCATGTGTCGATACTTCCTCCCGTTCCCGCCTTTGTCAACACGGCCAGAACAACCACTCCTCGAGCCCCAACGCGTCGCGGCGCCAAGCAAACGACCCAAAAAATTGAATCCTACTCGCTGGAAGCGTCCTTGTGTGCTCCTGAAGTTCTCCGGGGAGGCGCACAAGAAGAAAGCCGTGGTAGAAGACAGTAAACGTTTTTGTCATGGCGCAGACTAGCTTTAGTGAACGGAGGAGAAAGATGACAAAACTCGCTTTGACGTTGGTTGAAAACTCACCGTTCATGGATCGCTGTCGGATGACATGAGGCACCTGTTTGCGGCAACAGTATAGTATATTATCTGTAAATTAGAAGGATCTTGTGTAACTGAAGTTGGTCTGTTGCTAGTACATTTACCATGGACGGCTTGTCTCTCCGTTAGACACCGCCATGGTGAAACGAGGTTGGGAGGCTACGCTTCAACAAGCTCTAACCCTACCGTACCGTGCCGAAGAAAGGGTCACATGTACTGGTAGCTACTGCTGCATCAAACTCTGCCAAAAATCTCAGGCAACGGCTGCCAGAATCCAGGTGCTACACTGGCAAAGAGGGGCTAGCCTGAGCTAGTAGGGCTAGCAAGCTTGAGATACTACGTATATCTCTTAGTAGTCTAGAGGAGAGGGTTTAGAGTAGGGAAGTTACAGTATCTAGGGAAGCCGAAGATGGGCCAGCATGAACGACGCATGTCAATCACTTTGATTCTTCTGAGAATGATGACGGCGCCAGCACTAAGGCTGCCCGTGGAAGGTTTGCCTTGCACTTGCACTTGCACTTCGTCTAGTTTGGATCTGCCTGAAAAGGGATTATCAATTTGGGTCCAAGAAGGTCTACCACGACATAATTGTTCGAGGCACGCGATGCTTCCGCTGTAAGCAATTGAGGCTCAAGCTTGCTTCTGCTTGAACACAATTTGCAGGTGGCCAAAGGAGTACCGGCATACATGGCTACATTTTAAAAGTGTGTATTCAGAAGTAAGACATTCGGCTTCAAAGGTACGATAGACACTGGCGAGCCTCCCCTTGATTGCATAGGATTACAGGGTCTATTGGATGATGGTGTCGCTATGGTAACAGTCCATGCCAAGAGAGCGTCATGAATTGAGTTTACAGCTGCCCATACATGGGACACAGGTGGCAGCTGCCCAAGAACACGAGAGCTGTGTAGGCCTCAGCTATAGACATGCGCAAACCAGGAGCGCCAGCCCAAGTGCAGTACAAACACAGACTGCGACATGCAAATGCGGCCAAGAAGAGAGCACTAAATCCTTCGAGGCCGGCCACAGCTTTACCAACAAGGGCGCGGATTGTCGAAATAGAGCTATCATGACTGAAGCCACGAGTAGCTCAAAAAGCAAAAGCAAGCGTACCCTTTTGCAGTCGTCAATCAAAAGCTCGTGAAACCATTTCTCTTTGCTCACAACTGATGCCTCCTCCTCCTCTCGAGACAACGTCCTGGCTTCTTGTAGAAGGGGCTGATCAGCCTCGCAATCGATCTCTTCCCATTCTTCATCGCTAGTATCATCTCCCTCTTGCGTTCCACTTGTCGCATGGCTTGAGCCGTAGTCGACAGCATCAATGGTTTTGCACAAGGTGGTTTCGCATGGTAGATTGTTGCTATCCTCCGCAGCAGAGCAGTTCACCACACTTGATGCATCGATGGAAATGTCCGCGGTACACTGACTTCCAGAAACCGACGACCTCGAGAAGCAGGAATGGTGAATTGTCATGGTAGCCAAAAGGAAAACCCAAAGCCACCAATGCTGTGCTATTTGAACCGCACTGGTTGAAAACAGTGTCTTTCCCGCGTTCACCCACAGCAAGAGAATCTCCAATACGACCAAAGTGCACAGCACGGGCAAGCGACGGAGAAACTCCCTCACGCTGGTCCATAGCATCGATAGTAACCCCCCTTCGTGCCGCCAAGCAGCTGGAAAAACGTGCATCAGAAGGCTTTGAATTGTCGCCAACGACAGTGCAAATCCAAGTAGGATGCCCCCCATCGATTTCATCGAATGAAGTTGCCGTAGTTGAAGCAGCTCCCCTCCCCAAACCCCGAAAACTGCAACAAACAACAGCACATGATGGAACATGTGGCTGCACCCATGCAAAATATCCACAGTGACCAGACCAGCATTTCCATTCTGCACTCCTGAAAAGGCAGCCCTGCCTACAGAAGCAATCAATGGAACGACAGTTGATCCACCAATGCGGACCAACCAAAACAACAAGGCGAAAGCTGATGCTACAGACATCATTACAGCACTGCCACAAGCTGCAGCACCGTGTTGAACCGATTCACTCCATGATTTTGTCGCTTCATCTTCTTCTCCAGCAGCCTTTGTGGATTCCTCCCCAGCCTCGCTCTCATCCAGTGCACTCTGTTCAAGTTCCTGCTTGGCTTTTGCCTCTTCCAATTCTGCTTGCGCAAACTCCTCGTCTGCCTGGAAATATAATTAAGGAACCACCTTTGGCGTGAGGACGGCGACGACAAGACGGGACGATATTGTATGTTGATTGTCATGCACTCACC